CTTAACGGCTTGATAACAGGTATAGATATCCTGCCTACAGGGTTCAAACTAGCCTAATATGTATAAGCAATAATCTGGAAATTGGATTCAGCGTTTTCAACAAACTTGTACTAATCTGTTTATTGCCAGAACTCTTACAAGTCTGCAAAATTCTCGATTTTTTTTTAAACTTGCATCTCTCTTTGTTAAAACGGTTTTCAATCTGCTGCTTAAATTTTCATCTCAGGAAGCTGTTATATTCAAAACAATATTCAGTTTGTTCTTACTTTTAAAGTCACTTTACTTTCGAAACTCTTTTTCATAACTCTATTGTATTTCAAATCTGCTGATTTCAAAGTCAATTCTGAATTTCTGCAATCTCAACTATCTGTTTTAATCCTTTCTGCATTAGGCTTTTTCTGAAATCAGTACTTTCTAAATAATTCATTTAAAGTACTTCAATTCCTGACAATTGGATCCGAGTTGCCTAATGCAGACCTTTTATCTAATTCTATGTGTTAAACTGATCCGTGCTCCATTTAAGTTTCAATTAAAGACCAAATCAGGATATGCAAGACATGCTAAACTAATTGCTATGTGATTTACGGGGTTTTATGTGAGCCTTGCATATTTATTTTATGCCCCGCTTATTTGTTATTTGTTTTGACTGACGCCTTAGTATTTTATCCTTTTAAGCTCCATATATGCCTCCATCCCTTTCCTCCCTTTAGGATTAGAAGTCCAAATACCCTGGGACTGATAGGTTGGGACGGGTACTAGCATGCAATAAGTAAAACGAGACTAATCGCGTTTAAATACCTTAACGGGGTGGGAAGGGTAGAATATGGAGATGATGACGGTGCGCTAATATCTCGTGCGAGAATGATTGCTGGGTATTGCACCAAACTGATTCATATTATATTTAAACCTAGGACCCCTTTTCTCCTTCTTTAGTTATTGATGTTTTCTTAAATTAATGTTTCTTCAACTAAGCTTTCTCCTTTTAAAATCACTTGTGTCTTTCTTCTTTCAAAATTTTTCAACTTGTTTACACTTCCTATGTGCAAATTTTGCTTGTTTATTCATATTCTTAAAGTCATAACTAAGCACGGCCGGGAACCACACTAGTGGATCTTGAGAGGTGCCTAACACCTTCCCCTCGAGATAATCTCAAGCCCTTACCCGAACTCTGGTTTATCTTTCAAAATCCTTTTTTTTAAGTGTCCTAATGCACTATAATCATTAGGTGGCAACTCTTCAAATTCCATATCCCGATTCCTCGAAAGGGGAATAAGAGTTGTTTTGCCCATAATGTCGTAAACCCGATTTCGCCTTCTTTTAGGAGGGAAAAAGGGGGCGTCGACAGCATAGCAACCCTGCTGGGGATGCTTTAAGGCTTTTACCATTACGTTCTTTTTATGACTTTATTGCTTCCTTTATTACCTTTATTTCCTGATTTTAATCATTTCTCCATAAATACTAACTTGACTCTTCGTGTTTTCTTTTTCTTTAATTTCTTTCCCCTTTACTGCTTTACCATTATCTCAATTCCGTTTTCATTTCTGAGCATTTATTGTAATCTTTACTTTATGAACGTGAAAATACATGTAATTTGTTTCATTATTGTAATTGCATCTTCCAACACATATCTCACTCGTGCCAAAACAAATCCTATAGCAACGCTTATAATGAGTGGTTGCGCCCTTCCGATATCATAACCCCTAAATGTGGCAAAGGCATATTTGCGGTAAAACCAGTCGATCAACGGTGTAGTCGACGGTTCCGCGCCTTTCCCTCTTGAGTTGTCCGCTCAAGGGTACCTTGTCTAGCACTTCAAAGTAGAAACCTTACTCTATTAAACTGTTCATGCATCATGGTCAAGCCTAGCCGAGTCAGTTATGTTGTCCGCATAATGACTCATTAAGATAGCCTAAACCAAAGTCCATCGGGTTTCCTCGAAACCCAAACGGACACCTCCACGTTATGTGCATTTATTTGGAGAACTAAATGCCTTTTTGCTAATTATTGATTTAAATAGTCGAGTCCGGTGGGGGGTTAAGGGCCTAGCATTTTGTTTTGCAGAAAATGAGGCACGAGGTCCCCAGATTCGGTATGGTATCCAACATCCACCCAAGGTTGCTAAGCTGGTGGGAAGATCTTCATGGTAGTGATCAAACCCTCGTCCGCAAGTACTTAGGGAATTTACCCTCGCTTCTGGAAATCCAACCCAATAACAAGATCATTGAGGCTGCCACTTTGTTTTAGGATGGTGATCGATCAGTGTTCCATTTCGGAGACTTGGAAATGACCCCTCTGCTAGAATAGATAGGGGGCCTAGCTGGTATCCCTTGGGAAACTCTGGGTTTACTTATGCCGGAGAATCGCAAAAGTAGAGGCTTTCTTAAGATGATGGGACTCAAGAAAAACCCCTACCTTTCTTGCTTGAAGGACTCCTACATACCCTTCGACTTCTTATACGAGAGGTATGGCCACAGCAAGTCCTATCGCACCTACATGGACGAATTCGCCCTCACCTCTTTGGGGCATATACATAGAAGGGTGTTCGTGTTCATGTTTTTCTTCTTGGGCATGATAATTTCCCCTATGAAGAAGGCTAGGATCCACACCAGACTAGTCATGGTGACCAAGACCTTAATGGAAGGAATTGATGGGCAGTCTTTCAGCATAGTACCTATGATCATCGCTGAAATCTATCGAGCCTTGGGAAAATGTCAACAAGGGGCTCCGCACTTCGAGGGTTGAAATCTGTTACTTCAGCTTTGGCTTATAGAACACCTTCAGAAAGGCGACTACAGACAAGAAATCATACACAGGGATTGGGATGACCATATCAATTTTTATCACCCAAAGCGAATGAACTTCATGCCCAACTTGTTCGCCCAGCCAGAGGACGCCAGTGGATGGGTAGAGTTGTTCGAGAATCTAAAAGAAGAACAAATTCAGTGGATGTCGAGTGGTTCCCAACAGGGGAGTTCATTATCCGTTCTCGAGACGCACCATTCCTCATACTCATAGGCCTGAGGGGAACTCATCCTTACGTCCCCCTCCGAGTCATGAGGCAAGCCGGAAGGAAACAAATCATACCCAGGATAGAGAAAATGAGTCACTTCAGAGCCGACTTTCAGGATGATGATAGCCCGCACAGGTGCCACGCTCAGCATATGTGGCACTGCAAGCTCGTTTTAGGGAAGGAGTCTATTGAACCAGACAGGCATCATGCCGGGTGTGTGCTGCACTACACAGGTTGGTTGAAGGATGATCGCATTGGTTTGGGTCACCCAGGGTTTGTCCATGGTCGTAGGCTTATTGATGAAAAGACGGCAGCAAAGGTTAAATACAATCAACTACGCAAAAGGATGCGAGAATGAGCACCGGAAAATACAGGAAGCCCACGAGAGGCTGATCAACGAGTTGAAGGATATGGCTGTCAATGCCAACAACCAGCTGGGGTATCTGGAATGAGGCTTAGTGGAATTGGAAGGTAAATTTCTGAAGAGGATCGACGATTGTCAGAATGCTGAGGGTAATGAAGGTGGGCACCTGGCCCGAGCTTACTTGCTGCTGGGACTGCGCGAGCTGGTGCAGCTGTACGAGGGAGGCAAGAGTACCGAATCTGGGGAAGGTCCTTCTGGGACCAAGTAGTAGGACTCTTATTTTCTGCTTTCATAATGTAATAAGCCATTAGTGATATTTCTATCATTCAGTTGTTTTAAGACTCGTCTTGTTTTTATCAATAAAATGAGGCATTTAGCATTGTAAGTTCTCCAAATTTAATTTGTCGCTAAGCTTACCTCGGGCACAATGAGGCACCCAAATTAGGAAGTGATTTATATTCCAGCACAATGTGTTTAAATATTGCAATATTATTTATCAGAATCTGCGCTAACTCTTTACCTTTTTGTTTTTTTTCTTTTATTATTTTTATTCCCCTCCCCAAAGGTTAGTTCGTGCATTCTGGCACCATCAGTGTATTCAACAAGATCCAAGGGTCCTCCACCTCCTCCTCCTCCAAGTCCTACCAGAAATAGGAACAAAGGCAGAATGGAAGATACCAGTGCTAGAAAGGAAATCGGAGAAACTTCAATCACCAAGGAAACTGTTGCTCATCTTGAGCAAACTTTGCTAAGGTTCCGGGAAGAGTTGGAACAAGTCCGGAACTTGGCAAGTCTGTCAATCACTCTTGCTTCTGCTGATACCAACAAACCACCGCCGCCACCACCAGCCCAACCTGATCATACACAAGCTCGCAACGCATGCAACAATGCTCCACTGCTCATCCCTGAGCCCCAAAACACCACAAAAGACCATAACACTCCAGTTTTGTGGACACTATGCCACATTATAGTCAGCTAATCGCCAGTGCAATCGAGTCAGATGACAAGAGCACCCTCATTCAGAATTTGGCTGCTGAGATCAAAAAGTTGACTAGCCGGGTCCAAGATTTCGAAGGTAACAAAAGTGTTGAAGGGTTAAATTACGAAGATCTCTGTGTTCAGCCAGATGTTGAGCTCCCGGAAGGGTACAAACCTCCCAAGTTCGAACTATTCGACGGTACAGGTGATCCCAGGGTCCACCTCAGAATGTATTATGATAAGCTAGTAGGAGTCGGAAGGGACGAGAAGATTCGCATGAAGGTGTTCATGAGGAATTTGAAGGGTGATGCTTTATCATGGTATATTAGCCAGGATGCAAAGAAATGGACTAGTTGGGTGAACATGGCGTCTGAATTTATGGATCAGTTTAGGTTCAACACTAAGAATGCACCAGATGTGTTCTATATCCAGAATCTCAAGAAGAATCCCACAGAGACCTTTCGCGAGTATGCTACTCATTGGAGGTTAGAAGCTGCTAAGGTCAGGTCGGCCTTGGAGGAAGAACAAATGAACAGGTTCTTCATCCGTGCTTAGGACCCGTAGTACTACGAGAGGCTGATAGAGGGCCAAAAGTTCTCCGACATCATCAAGTTGGGAGAAAGAATCGAAGAAGGCATCAAAAATGGTATGGTCACTAACCTCGAGGCATTGCAAGCTACCAACAAGGCTTTACAGTCTGGTGGCTCATCAAAGAAAAAGGATGTGAATTCTGTGATGGTTGCGCAAAGGAACAACTTCCCTATGAAGTACCAAACCTATCCCTCAGCTCCACTCACATATCAACCTACCCTAAATTACCAAGCACCATCTCCCACCTACCAAATTCCATCACCTGCTCCACCACCTACATATGAACCCTCTTCACACAGATATTCCCAACCCGCACCTATATACCAAGCATATAACTCCCAACCTTCTCACTACCCATCACCTCCTACCCGTCAAAACTTCCCTCGACCTAGACCAAACTTCGACCGCAAACCTCCCAGACAATATACCGCCATAGCCGAGCCAATTGACCAATTATATCAAAAACTCAAGGCAGCTGGTTACGTTACCCTTATCCCAGCCGTAACTCCAGAAAATCCTTCCCAGTGGATCAACCCAAACAAGACTTGCGCATACCATTCCGGGATGAAGGGCCATACCATCGACGAGTGTCGCTCGTTGAAAGACAAGATTCAAAACCTGATTGACAACAAGATCATTATAGCAAAGGATCCCGCTCCTAATGTCCGCAACAACCCTCTACCTGACCACGAGGGTAGAGGCATCCACATGATCGAGATCGAAGATGATTGGGACCTCAAGGGGTCAATCGGGTTGATAGCTAAAGGAGATGAGCCTAAGAAGCCAATAGTTACTCTCAATCCCATTGTTGTCCAGATTCAGCCCTCTGAAGGCGATGTGGTAAATATGTCCGTACCACTCGAGTTTGAAGCACCACCTTCAAAGGCGCCAAAACCAATTGAGTTTGAGTTCAGAGTTCCAAGGGCGCCTACGCCATTTGAAGTTATTGTGTTACCTCCTAAGGCACCAATTCCAGTCTCCATGATAGACGTAACCCCGTTCAAGACAAATGCTATACCTTGGGATTACACCGCTGAGGCTAGAAGGAAGGGAAAGACATATATTGGGGAAGCGATTGCCGCACAGGGCATGACCAGGACAGGCAGGGTATACACCCCAGAACACTTGGCTGAGTCCAGCAAGCATGCCTCCGAGCGGGCTGTTGAAACTGGACCCGATGACCTTTGGAGGAAGGTACAGGCCAAAGAGTACTCGGTCGTCGAGCAACTGAACAAAATGCCAGCACAGATTTCTATTCTTGCTCTTCTACAAAGCTCAGAGACACATAAAAACGCCTTAATAAAAGTACTGAGTGAAGCTTATGTTCCTAGCAACATAACAGGAGGCGAAATAGCAAACATGGTGGGGCATGTACTGGAAAGCCATAAGATCACCTTCCATAAAGATGAATTACCGCCAGAAGGGCTTGGTCACAACAAAGCATTGCATATCATTGCGCAATGTGAGGATCACTTTGTCACCAGGATTCTAGTCGACGGGGGATCCAGCCTCAACATTTGTTCATTGGTAACTCTCAGGACATTGGGTAAGGGATTGCACGAGATCAAAGACGGGGCTATCAGTGTCAAAGCTTTTGATGGATCTCAGAGGTCCACCATTGGAGAAATTAGCTTATGCCTACAGATGGGACCCACCTGGTTCAATGTCGAGTTCCAAGTCATTGACGTACCAGCGTCCTATAATTTGTTGCTAGGATGACCCTGGATCCACGCCGCTAGGGCTGTGGCATCAACTTTGCATCAGGTTGTAAAATTTGAATGGAATCATCAGGAAGTAATCATTCATAGCGACGGTAGCAACCCTATATATAGTCGCCAGGCCATCCCGATGATCGGAGGAAGAAGGAAAATCGTTGGAGAAACATACCATCACATCGAGCGAGTCAACGCCATAGACAAAGACAAGTGGTGGGATAACAAAATTGAGAGCATCCTGAATTGGAGCGGGTATGAACCCAGAAAAGGACTTGGTAAGAACCTGCAGGGTATCACCAAACCTATCAAGCTGAAAAAGCACGGTACCACTTTTGGCCTAAGGTATGAGTACACTTGGGAGGAGTTCAACCACTGGTCACCCCCATGGCGCGGACCATACCATCCGCTGGAGCACCCTATACCTCAGTTGGAGCAGATTTTTCAGCCAGCTGACATCTTCGTACGGATCAGAGAAAGACGAGGCACTAGCAGCAATAAAGAACCTGTTTCTGGAAGATGATATGGATTGTTGTACTATCTTCGAGGAGGAAGTGGAGGAAGGCCCTTCCATTCAAGCTATGAACCAAGGAGAGCACCTCGCCAATTGGTCAATCAGGACCACCAGTGCCCGGAGAGCCTCGGGGTAGCAAGGCTAAACGACGCATCTGCATCACACTTTACTTTAGTTGATTTTACTTCTCCGCATTTTCTTTACTTTTGAAAAGAGCTTCAATGTTTTAAACGATTATGAAAAAGCATTTTCCAAGTTTATCTTTATGTTTCGCTCTCATTTATTTTCTCTACCATTTACCTTATTTTACACAGCATTACTATTACATATCTTGATGATGAACCAACGACTGTGACTTGCAACGAGACAGTACGACAAAAGGATATAGACTCAGAAGAGGATGAGATACTAGAAGAGGTTGTCAGGGAGGTCAAAAATTTCGAGAACATGCCCAAGTCTAACTTAGACGAAACTTAGGTCATCAGTTTGGGGAACGTAGAAAATGTCAAGAAAACACGTATCAGCGTACACTTGTCACCATCAGAAAA